ATATCATATTTTGGGCTTGCCGGGAGTTCGAAATCAGTTGTATGCGTTCCCAACAGCAAAGTGGCACCGCGTGCCAAACCATTTTGCGACTGTGATATGATATTTTATTTCAATTCGTAAGAAGGAAGAAAATGACACTTCACGATTCTGGAACAGGACATAATGATCGTTCATAAGATCATAGCCTTACAAGCTCAAAACCATAAAACCAGTTTGTGGTTCATGCCGTCGCAATCGCGTTGGCGGGGGACCCCACAGCCCTTGGCAGGTGCAGCGGCGGGGCCGTCAGGAAGAACCTGTACCCCCCCTGCCTCTTCCCCGCGGTGATTTCCTGGCGGAGGTACTTTGCCAGGCTGGTGTGACGAGGGGGGGCGGGGTGAAGGGGTATGTGTGGTTGAGCAAGGAAACGAAAAGGGGGCGCAATGGGGAGGTGAAGAACGTACTCGGACAAGTACCAGAACTCGCCCAGGTTGACGCCCAGCTTGAACAAGCAGTGCTCGTGCAGGGGTAGCGGGTGGTGTGGGAGGTCTGGGTTCGGGGGCGGGCGAGACGGGAGACCCTCGACCGCGAACTGTGCCGAGGGGTTGAGAGGTCATGGGTGGAGACGAGGTTGGGGAATGTAGGGGGAGAGAGATACGCAGAGCAGACTCACGTTGTCGGCGATTAGACTAACGAGCCCCGTGTCTGTGACCCATTGCAGTAGCTGGGGGTCACGCCCGTCCAAAACGGCGCACGAGTTCTCCATCATGTGCTTAGAGGGCTCGCCGTTCTCTTCTAGGATCATGGCGCCGAAGCCTGTGTGGAGGCATACTTTGGAGTGTGTGTGGGAAGGGGGGTATCGGGGGGAAGATGTGAGACTTGGATACTAAATGTTGGGAGGGACTTAACTCACCCATATCGCCCTTCTCGACAACAATGTTGTCCGATTTTAGCACATGCTGGATCTCTTTGTATCCGATCCAGGTGCGTCCACGGCCGTAGTAGTGCTCGAGGTCGATCAGGACGGCGCGGCCTTGGATGGGCTGTGTAGGTCATCGGTGGCGAGGAGAGGGTGCATCGTAAGCCCGTACGACGTTGGTTGAGAAGTGTAAGACCAGACGGCATCGAGTGAGTTGAGTAAGTCCGTACAACATCGGGCGAGGAGACACAGTGGACACACCTTCTCGGCCAAATTCTCTACGCCAAGCTTAAGTGCTCCCTTATGCTCGCCGAGGGTGGTCTCAGTGCCGTCAGAGTGGTACGCGACGGGTCCGACGATGTCAACGTTTGGGAGATATCCGTTGTAGTAGCAGTGGACGGGTTTTCCCTGAGGTGAGAGGCACCATGAGGTGTGATGTGAGCGGGAAGTTGGAGAAAAGGGATGGGAAGGAAGACGCAACTTTGCCCGAAATATCCCACATGCTTCCGACGTGGGACAAGGCATCCCATTGCGTGGTGAATTGGAGCGTCAAATGGACTGGATGGTGGGAAGAGCGAGAGGGGATGTCACAGGGCCATCATGATGTCGTCTGAGTGACGTTTACCAATGTCGTCGCAGCCGATGCTGGTAAGAGCCTTGTTCTTGCTGTTGCCGGGCTGGTTAAATCTGCGGGAAGCGGTGTGAAATGTACAGTACATGTTGAAGCTGACAAGTGTCGCGGAGACCCACGCGTGTTTTCCATCTGCGCGTTTTGTGGGCTCAATAAGTGGAGGCTGGCGCTGGGGGTGCACCAGGTGGTTTATTTTGGGGATATCCAGGGGGAAGCACAGACCTGCGATGTTGACGGGGTGGAAACAAGTGCTTCAGCATTCGTTGCGCTACAGGGGGGATGATTACGACATGCTTACAAAACGTGCGACCTTCGCGAATCTCTGCGATGCCCTGAAGGACTTTTTCAGGTGTGAGCAGGTTGAGCCTGCCTTTAGTGTCGTTTTCGCCAAAGTCGCCCCACTGAACGAGACCAGCATGAGGTCACGCGCGGTCGCATGCAGCAGCAGCAGTAGCGTACCGTCGATCCAGGCGGTCTGCTAACCCAGCGCGGCATGATAGTGGTGAAGAGAAATTCCGGTTCGGCCCAGAAGGTTCCGAGTCCGCGCCTTGCCCTTCTGTCTGCGGTCACTGGACTCTGACTTCACCAAATCCTCCCCAAACCATGGCGACCATTCCCCCAACCAGACAATTCTCCCCACAAAGTCCGTCAGCAGCAGCACTGCGTCTTGCGTCTGTCGTGCATCTCCTTGCGCGCTGGGGAATCGAGTCTGCAGCCGCAACCGTCAAAGACTTCTCCATCTCGCCAGCCGCATCGCGATTGAACACGGCACTCGACAAGGTCGTGTCCTCGCTCTACGCAAACAAACTCGACGCCCATCTGTCCAAGCGCGAACTGCATCTCCTTACGGGTCTTGAACTGGGCACATGGTGCGGTGGAAAGAGAGGTTCGATCGAGAGGCGATGGGAGAGCCTGGTGAGCCCATCAATCGACGTTTTCGCGCCCTTTTCTTCCCGTGAACCCGTTTGCCCCACTCGTGGCCGACCACAGGGTTTCCTCCTCTGGTACCTTCGCATCCTCCCACCCCCCGGCACAATTCCTCGCCCTTACCAACCCATCACCGCGCTCCACACCCGCGACTCACTCTTCCTTTCCACTGGCATTCAACCGCAAAACTCCTCCTCCGTCGCCCGCTTCCTCGCCAAGTTCCCGCCAAACGCATCCACCTCGTCGTTGGCAGTTGACCCCGACGACCTCCGCAGTTGCCTCAACCTGTACGAAGCCTGGTATTGGCGCTCCCGTGCCCAGCGCGTTCTCGAAGTGACCGCACGAACCTCCCTTTCCTCCTCTGACGACTCCACATCCGCGTCCACATCTCCCTCCCCTCGCATCCCCCGCGCCCTCTCCAATCTCTCCCGCCACATCCCCTCAGCCATCACATCTGCTGCCGACATCTTGTCCTCGTCAGGGACGCTTCTACCTTCCGAAACCGCCGCCGTGCACGAAACCCACCCCATGCACTCCCACGGGCTCGTGCGGGACTTTCTACCCACAGGCCCAGGATCTGTGGGGCACGTGCCCTACTCCTCCCTGTCCCCCGCCCAGCGCGCACCCTTCGAGTCCATCGTGCAGACACGCCTCGCCGAGGCCGGGTGGTGCGCGGGATTGTGCAAGGTCGACGCGGAGGGCGATGACGAAGGGTTTGCCTTTGTGAATCCCGTCAGCGCGATTTGGAAGGCCGAGGAGCCTATTAGTGAGGGTGGGCAAGGTGTCCCCGCCGTGAACGTCTGATTAGGACTTGGGTGGCGTAGTGGGAGTGGGTAACGGGGACCCTGAGCATCAGAATAACTTTTCACAGTATGTAATAATGCCTAGACAGACTAGATGAGTGGCCACGTGGCGTGGTGTGGGCGATGTAAACACTCATGTCCAGTACCGCCGAACGTCTTGCAAATGCACTTTGCAGTAAATACACGGCCGTGGATTTTACGTGCGGTCTGGACAAGAAACCCCAGATTCGGCCAGAAGCTCTAGAAAACCACATGTAATCCTATCAAAATATGTGCAGATTACGACTTGGCCAGAACACCACATAGAACGTCAGATTCACGCAGAGGATTTTGGGAAAATCTGGGGTTGCATCTGTACCTGTCAATATCTGGACAGAAAGGCACAATACATCACAATTTCTGACCATGTTCGTGGGAACAGGTGGGAAGAGACCATGGAACCAACATTCCGCAAAAAATTGGGGACTCGCTCTCTGAAAATCACGCTGCATGGATTTCCCCGACGCAAAGAAGGGGGGCGTGCAGGTGTGCAGTTCTAGTGACTCTCCCCTGGCTCCCGGCTCACCCCAAGTGACCGTCGCCGACACTTTCCAGTCTGGCAAACACCAGCGATACCTCAAACCGGAACACAAGGAGGCGTCGACAGGACGCCTTCATCCATCGAATCGTGGAAGTGCTGGGGCTACAGAGGAGGACTGTCAGTGGGATGGTTGCGGTTCTGTGGACCAAGAGCCAATCGGTGGAATCGAGGGAGAAGACGACGAAGAACTTTGGGACCGAAGTGCGGAGAGAGTCGATTGTGATGTTGACTTTGCAATGGGATCCTGCCGGACAACTGAGGAAGGTGTTGTGGCGGTCGGAGACATTGAGCTTGCGTTTCGCTTGGATCTGCTATGCCTGACACCGGTTCAGCGGGCAGAATCGTTTGACAAGTTTTGGGACGTTGTGTGTTCGAGGGCCGCTCTCAAGTGGAACTCACCCACGTCATTCAAATGGATTGGCCATGAATGCTGATTGCTGCGCTGCCTTGTGGCATGTACAATGTGTGCTTCCTGTCTCGTTTTACCAAGTTTTGGACTTAAAGTTCGCGAGCGAAGGACATCAAGCAACGTATTTGAAGTATTATGAATACACGTGTACAAGAGATTAGAGTAATAAATAAAGCAATTATAGCAATTAATTGAGTGAGACAAGGGTCGGAGATACCCAGAAATCCACAAATGCAAATGGGAATCTGTTCAGATGTCGGACAGAATTCGTACCGCCCTTCCCCAAACGTGTCCAGAGACCTTCAGAAACCTTCCGAAATTTCTGGACAGATTTTGAACAGATCTGTTCTTATTTCGACGTAAAATTCACGGTCGTGTATTCAGATTCGGAAAAGACTTCCTCGATCCCTCTTCACTTTTCATTCAGTAATTTAGTGACACAAAACGATGCCCTCCCTCTCCGCACCCCACTCTGTGTCGCATGCATTACTCACCATCCTCGTAGTTTTGGAGACCGTGGCGTCAGGGTTCCCCTGCGGCATGTATGAAAGAGAAAATGCCCATCCCAGCTTTGCCCGGGACTGCACGGTACTGTAACGTGAATCGGGCTCGTGTTGCAAAACATCAGGAGTGTACATACTTATGCCCCGAATTTATTTAAAGCTCGGCGCCGGCGCCGACGCGGGTGCGGTGTGCACCTCAAACGCCTGCACGGCCAAACCCCGAAACCCTCACGATCGCGGGGCAAAATAAGGCCGAACCCGGAATCGAACTGGGATTGCGAGAGTCAGAATCTCGAGTGCTAACCATTACACCATTCAGCGGAGCTTTTAGATCGAAACGAATTTGCACATATTATGCTTGTATATGGCTTCTTGTGGACGTCTGGCACCGTCTCCACGTACCTTGCGTTTTACGGGAACTTAATTCGTCTTACTCTTTTTTTGCGGATGCTCCATTTATGTTGCTGGAAGGATGCGGACATGTGTGTCATGCTTCTTAAAAAATTGAATCTGTAGTTTTACCCTACGGGCGAGGGCGCCCGCAAGCTCGCCCCCACAGGGTAAGAGAATTTGCCCCTCCAGAGCAAATTATGTAATGATGAAGTGGCAAAATAGATGCAGTCGGAATCATTCTCCCAAGATCTACTCTCCCATCAATAATCTCCATGGTGTGCAGACTTGCTCATCAGCTGACTGCTTCTTGAGCCTGTTTTAATTCAGAAGTCTGGAGTACTCGGAAGCAAGGGCACCTCGGGTGCCGCAGAATTCATTGTCGAATCGATGGACCACACCCCATCCATATCCCCACGACAAGGACGGGGAATGCAGATGCAGTAGTACCTTATCAAACTATATTTTATATCGTGGTTAAATGTGGTTGGATGAACTTTAACTGCGCGGAAGTGAACCAACAGAGCAACCACCACCGACAGAAAGCGGTGGAGAACTCGCCCTTTGGAAGCAAGCACTACGTCGGCTGCTCATCGGCCCCGCCAAAGCAGAGGAGAGATTGAGACGAAATTCGGAAGAAGCCAGCGACAATGGCTCCATCACTTCCCACTTCATTGGCGGCAGTATTCTGGGGCTCTGGGGCCCGCCATAGTCTGTCCTGATGTACGATTGATGTAGTCGAGTGTGAAAATTGGAAGAAAAGAGCCAGGGGACCGGGGGTTTCCCTGACGGACGGATAGACTGACTTTTTTTTTAAACATGAACTTCCCCTCACACATGAACTATAAGCTCACCCTTACGGGCTCGCAATGAAAACTTCGACGAGCGCAGGGACTTGTGCGCTGCTCGTGCGTCGCTGACGATGGTGCATCCACTGGGTGTAGGAACAGAAGGGTGTGCTTGGTTTGGCCGATGGCCGATGGGTGACAACATGGAAAAAGAAGTGGACTAGAGTGTTTGGTGACTCCGTACCCTCTGTCCAGTCCCCCCCGTTCACCGTTCACCTCTCACGCGGTCCGCACTGAATCTTCTCTGAGGTCAGTCGTACGCTGTACGGTCACATGTCCTTCCCCTCACAATGTCGCTTATACAACGTGGATACTGCTGAAAGGAGTTTTGGTTCAGTAGCTTTGCGTAAATTTGTGATCCGAAGTACTTTACCATTCGTCATGTACCGTCGACAGAGCGGACTCCAATGACCCCTCTAGTAGCACTCATCATGTACCATCATATAAAATCGTCTTCCATAATTTGTAGCTTCGTGGAGACGCCCTGGTAAGAGCACCATTGATATCTAAACTAAAGTTGGGGACCGACTTGCTTGAACTGCGAAGTTGACTTGCACTCCAACGATTCACCTTCACGTATGTAAGCAGCTCCTCTCGCGCTTTTTGCTTGGCCGATGGAAATCTGGAGCCGTTGTCCGTGAAAATCGCCGGAACTGCCCATTGGAGAAACCCGTCGCCGGTGTGTTGTGGAAGCCTGGCGGTCCGGGCAGAGATTCGTCTTCGGCGTCGATCATTCACTGGAGTTGACTGGATGGAACAAGAATTGGCCACGCACTGGCCCGGGATGCGGGCAGGCGTTGTTCGAGGGTCGTTCGAACAAGTTTGGTGCACCGCGAATCGAGTTTCCTCGGCCGATTCGCAAGGTTCTCCCGCAAAATGCACAGTACTATTGCTTAAAATAAACTCTTTCACGCGAGTTCGGTGGCCTTGATTCACCACAGCTTGTACCCAGCGTCCATGCACACAACCTTGACTGCTGCTTGATCCATAGTTAGCTGCATAGCTCGCCTCAGCAATTTTGCGCACCATGGTTCGGAGGGCTGCAGGTCAATCGGAGGTGGTGAACATGAGGCCTACTTTAAATGACACCAGTACACTTGACAGAGGCACAAGGCTTTCGAGCGTCACCTGATTCACCATGCAATGTATGAGTCAAACGTACGTGAAACTTGTAAGCATAGAAAACTTACCGGGCCTGCTCAATCTCAAGCTCTGTCAAGTCTGGTCCACCTCTGGTTTCACCGTCGACGTCTCTCCAGCCGTGTCTTTTGCCACCGGACGTAGATCTTTCCTTCTGCCTCCGCACACCGTCCCCACTGTTTCAGTCGCCGCACTCCTGCCGACCCTACCCATATGTCTCTTCCCCTCTGATGACGGCGTATTATCCACAGACCACGACTGTCTTCTTCGGTAAACCGGCCGACCATGTACTGCCATGCCATGGGGTACACGTCTGAAGTGTTCGACGACGGCTACTGTGGAACCAACAATACGGTCAGACGAGATCGGCAGCAATATGTGCGCTGATAACGGCGAACGTCGTGGTGCAATCACAGTCCTCTGGTGCTCAGCGACTGATCCACCCGGCGGCGTCTGCATCTGTTTCCTCGCACTGATTGACAGCCACGCGCCGTCACGCCAACACCGCATCAAACCTGGCCAGAATGTCTGTGAAAACCATGGGCGACGCGGATATGACGATGGTCCCGCCCCGGGTCAACGTTGGCGTGGCGCGGGAATTCGCCCTACCAGGCTTCTTATCCGAGAGGGGAGGCGTCCGAGGCGCCGCCCACAACTGGCACGGGGGCCGGGACGGAAGGGGGGAAAGCGTTGCCCGGCGTATGCCCCACTCCCGCCCCTAGCAACACCGAACGGTTCGATGGACGCCAGGCTCCGGTGGATCGACGGGGACAAAGTAGTCCGGAGAGAAGGATGGGGGGGAATGGTTGGTTTGAAGTGGTGTCCGCAGATGAACTACTACTCAACCCAAGCCCCGAGGCCACTTTGCTAGGAAAAACACACAAGATGTGTGAGCATCTGAATTTGTAGCGAAATGGGTCAAATTCAGATCGCCCTTTGGTTCACAGGGGCAAATCACTAAGATGGATGTAACGCGACTAAAAGTTGTTCAGGTCCTGTATTTTTCGAAGAATCTTATTGCTCGCTTTGATGTCGGTCCCGACATTCGATCCCGAGAGGCACTTTCAGGGATAAGTGAGCATTCGAGCAGTTACACATTCATTCCTGACTGGACCGGCGCCATGGATGCGAGGCGCGGCCCCTGCTGTGAGTTCTCCTCTGCGCCTCCGTGTGTCGACGCCTGTTCTGAATTCAATCGGCATCCCCACAAACCCGCTGCTTATCGATTGCATGCATTCCTTTGACGGCAAAAGCCCACGCCTCTCCGACTCTCTTTTGTGTCTTCTTTTCCGTTCATCTCCAGTATTTGCCTTTCGGTTGCGACGGGCGTGTGTGCTGTCGTGATATTTCCAGATCGGTCGATTGCGAAGACCATGACTCGAGTTCCGATCATACGGCCTGTTCACGGCGGCTCAATTCTGGCCCTGGAGGCCACTACTGGTTTCTAAGCCGACGCGGGAAAGATGGGAAAGTGCTTGACCGACGCAGTCGGGTCAACTTCTTTCCCCGCACTCTTGACGCCCCCACTCAGAGGCACCTCTGCGAAATTCAGCGCAGCTTTGTAAGTGCGTACGTGGGCCTCCGGGTGGACAACGACGACAGCGAAGAGGTGGGGGTGTGGTGCGGATGGAAGGAGAAAAACGCCTTCTAGTGCATGCTACTCCCCTTCGTCAATGTCTGAGTCTCGCAACGACTGCTCATCGCCACCTCTCAACTGTCGAACATGTCATTAGCTCATAATTTGATGAACGCTTGTTAGTAGGGTTATGGAAATGGAAATATACACCGAGCATGATACAGATAGTAAATGAGCAAAGGCACGGAGACGGTTGCGGAACACGAAGAACGCTGGCAAAAAGCGGCATACATTCTGATTTGAACGTGCCCGGCAGCAAGTCCTGTTGAAATCCTGCCGGACATTACAACACATTATTGGAGCATCCGCAAAAGAAGGTAAAACGAATTAAGTTCCCGTAAAACGCAAGGTGCGTGGAGACGGTGCCAGATCACGTTTTTCACAAGGCGAGTTGAGGCGAGGTGGTGCCACCTCTTTACTCCCCTTTTAATGCTGTTGTTACCCTCTCAACTCTCCTCTTTTTTTGTGAGCCCAACTCTCAACTCCCCTCTTTCCTTTTC